GTGGCTGGAGGCTGACACGTGACACCCCCAGGCTAAATCCTGACCCCACCGCTTCTGGGAAAGTGGGGAATTAACTGGGTGCCGGCTCCTCCAGCTTTTGAGACTCCAGAGGTGACAGGGCCCAGTCATTGGTCCCTGTGTTTTTGCATAGATCTTAGGAAGGACAATGCAGTTCCAAAATTTGATGCTTATTCTCTGGCACAGATGGATGAGCTTAGAATGATTGGGAGAAGCATTGTTACAACCCTAGATTTAATGAAGGAATACTGGCCGCGCGCCCGGGGCCGCCCATGAGCCACGCGCTCCAGGTTCCCTCTGGCCAGAAAATGTCTGAATCTATTACGCCCGGTCACTGGACCTTCTGTACTCACAGCTTTATCGCCATTATCCTGTCCATATGGATGTCTGGAGCAGTCAATGGTAGTGTCTGGATTACAGACCATAAATATCTCCTTAGGGAGAGGCAGAGAGCACCAAATTCATGCAGCAATTCTATGCAGAAATTCATGAAGAAAATTCCCTTCATGTAAAATAGGAAATTTAAATACAAATCCTTAGGTCTACTCAAATATAGGTGTACAGGCGACCCCTGACTTATGACCGCCTGACTTACGACCCCCCCGCATTTACAATGGCAGACCCACACCGTCAGATGCAGACTCCACGTGGCAGTACCAGTGCCGGCCAGCAGTGTTAGGGTTGCCAGGTGTCCAGTTTTATACCGGACAGTCCGGTATTTGCACTCTCTGCCCGGTAAAAAAAATTCAGAAAATACTAGACATCTGCAATGTCCGGTATTTTCTCAATTTCCAGCTGGGCACCGGATGGAAGCCTGGCAGGGGCGGGGGAGCGACTGGGAGGCGGAGCTGCGATTGGCGTTGGGAGCCTCTGGTCAAATGCATATTGTCCTGTGGTTGTGTTCTGAAGCCGGGTGGTGTGGGGTTTGGTGTTGTTTTTTTTTTGCTCGACAAAAATTTTTAGCCCACATGTTCGGTATTTTTTGGGAGAGCATCTGGCAACCCTACCAGCAGCGGGCGGCATTTGAACTGGAACCCTGCCAGGCTGGGGCCTTGCCCCGGACCTGATCAGCGCTGCTGTGGGCCTGGGATATTTGTGCAGCCTGTCCCTAGTGACCGCCCTGGTCTGGCCCAGCATGGTTTCTCAAGCCCGGTGCAATGAGGATTACAACTCCCATGGGGGAAAGTGGGAGGCTCTTTCTCCCTTCACGTGGCCTCATGGGAATCGCAGCAGGTGGGGCTGGGAGATGTGGCTGGCTGTTTTACAGTAGTACCTGGCCTGATTGTATTTTTAGGGTATGAAATGGGTTTCCAGGAATGGAACTTCCATTTATAACATTGCGCCTATGGGAAATAAGGGTTCAACTTATGATGGCTACAACTGTTCTCCAGTAAACCAACACTAACAACAAATACTGCTCAATTAATTAAAACATTTAATTAATAAATAGCATCTGTTTATTTATATTACAGTTTCAGAGTCAAAGTGGACAAGGGCACTAGATTACATCAACAAGTACTTGTCATTTCATTAATGGTGAACCATACAACATATCATTACATTGACAGTTAAATCTGATCACAGAAAGATTAAAAAAATTGACCTGCTGTTTCCATCAGAGATTTCTGTGCAAGATAGCAAGTATGTTGAAAGAAAACAAGATGGATGTTATTGATGTATCTCAAAGTAGTGGCCTGAATATTTTCAAATACCATTCACTGATTGTTCAGACAAAATGAAATACCTCTTCCCCAGAAAAATCCTTCATTTGCTCTCTCTATAGCTCTTTTCCATGTAACTTGAAAATTAACATTAATATGGAAAATGTTTTCAAATATGACTTAGGTCAATAAAAGTCATTAGCATTATTTGTATTAACAGTATAATTTATTAAAGAAAAGGTGCTGTTATTATAGATTTAAAGTTGTTGAGATAACTGATGACACTGGGGACCATTTTGTGTACATCCACACACTTGGTAAAACAGGATTTCCTAATGGAAATCTGGGATTAAAATAGGAATCGAGATGGAAACATTCCAGTCTCACAGAGTTCTCCAAATTCCATTAAACTATAACTGTTTTATTAGCTTCATAGCAACACTACAGATACTAGCTTGTTCAAATATTTGCTCCTGAGGGGATTCTGCATATTTTGTTAAAATAATGCAATATAATTACCCCCATTTCAATTATTTTGATAAATTATTTAAATTACAATACAAAATTAAGTCACAATATTTTTTTGGCATTCCTAAACACATGACAATTAAGTTACAAACACTTGGTAACTAATATGCTGCATTCCAGTTATAATTCTGGATTTTCATTTAAATTACAGAATACTAAGCAGAAAAAAATAGTCGAATGTCTTTTTAAGTTACTCAGATTTTTACACTGGAAAGTCATAGAGTTTTATATTTACTGTCCTGGACCTGGCTGGTTACTTGGAGGGCAAATAAAACATTTACCAAACAGTCAATAATGTTTCAAGACAATCAGACTCAAGCACCTCCCAAAGTCTTTTTTTTTTAAATGGGTAGGTAAAATAAATCCTGAGCTATAATCTAACCCCATTGTGCCACTTTGACACAAGAAAAAATGAAAAAGCACATATCTTCCTAGCTGAGGATTCCCTCATTGTCATTTCATAATAAGGCTTCTTTAAAAAGCAGTGTACAGTGTGGGGGGTGGAGAAAGGGGGAAGGACTCAAAACTTTCACAGATTAATGAGAACAGTTAACTTACAAAAGGAATGCTGCTACATTTCTGTCTCCAAGAATGAGATCAATTAACCATAAACAGCAACTTTAACAACTTTACTACTCAGTCAGGGTGCTACATTTGTGCCTCTAGACTGCCTCCTGCATAATAAAAAGCTCTAACCTTACAGCCAGGAAGCTGCAGAGACAGGGACAAGAGTCTTTTTCTCTCTAGCTTGTTGGCACCCCCCCAAGGTGGTCACACAGGCCCTCTACCCCCTCCACCTCCTCCATGGAGTTTCCTCAGGCGGGCTGGAACAGACGCACTGCCGGGGCTGCCCAGGAAGAGGCTTGTGTCCTCCAGCGGAATTTTTAAAAACTTTTTCGGGGCGAGGGGAGAAGTGTGCATAGAAAAATGCGGGCCATGTGAATTGTGAGCCCGCACAGAGGTGCAGAATCCCCTCAGGAGTAAAAGGTATAGGGTAGTATTTTTTAAAGTAGTTTTGAACACTGTGTTGGTGCCCCTGTTTTCTGTTTCAGAAGCCATCAGAAATCACGCTGCACAGAAGTGTGCATTAAAGTAGGTATTTATTATACATTTGCATGTCCTTAGTAAACATGATTATTG